CCTCTCTCCGGGAGGTCTCGCCACTCGCGATAATTAGATCCGACCCTGAAGTGGCGCCCGCAAAAACCCGAAGTCCCGTTGCGGGCCAGTACTGTACCTGTGCGCGTTGCACTTTGATCGCACTTAGGAAGTGCTCGTCCTCCGACTAGATTCCGTGGAAACCGAGAAAAGGAATCCCGAGTCCGTTCGGCTCGGCCGATCCGACCGAGACTCGAGAATGTCGCCTTGACCGGCTCGACAAATAATCGAGACGCGACAATGCGCCAATTCTACCGAGAAGACCATGGTAACCGGGCCGAGAGCAATTGTATGCAAATGACACCTTTTTTTATGCATAAAAAGGAAAAAAGAACCCAAATCCTCGCTCATAATGAACGCGCACGTCTCGATGATTCATGAGATATGGCGGCCATCTTGAAATTCCTTGTTACAATTGTAGAAACGTGGCGGCCATCTTGAATTTTCCCGTAATGATTCCAGAATCACGGCGGCCATTTTTAAATTTCTCGTAAATAATTCAAGAATCACGGTGGCCATTTTGAAACTCCCCGTAATGATTCAAGGAACATGGCGGCCATTTTGAAATTTCACGTGAATAATTGATAAATCACGGTGGCCATTTTGAAAAGCTCCGTAATTAAAGCGCAGATAGAGTGCTCCCGAAGTGTACACCCGCCCTCGCCAACGAAACTCGTTAACGGCGTTAACTCCATCCCGAATTTAATTGTGCAAAAGTTACGACACGTCGCGCGACTCGGAAGGGCAAACGTACCGAGAGTGCATCGGATGCGTCGTATCAAGAGAGATAACTGTAGGGAAAACGAGTTGACCGAAAAACATCCCCGGAAAATATCCCTGGCGAGGAACTCTGCAAAATTTGGTGAACATTTCCCCCTCCCCCACGATTTCGAACGTCGTGCAGAAAACATCGCTGAAAATGATCCAGCGACTTCAACGCCCGGAAAGTCATACCGACCCGAAATTAAAGACGCGATCCAACGACTGAAATGAAACCGACCTTTGTGAACGTACCTTTGGACACCGTTAAATTTTCTATCGACGTTGTATACATCGCTTGTTTTTTTCTTTTTTTAATTCTTACTTTCGAGATTTTAACGGCTTGGAAAGAATAGTAACTAAGTGGGTCGTCTAACGGTTCCGTCAATTCGTTTCCGTTAATTTCCTCGACGGTGAGGCAAACAACGACGTTTTCGCGAAGGTCGGGCAAGTGTTCCTGCAAATCCGCGTCACCTTGAAGAGCGGCCACGGCGCGGAATCGCGGCAGACCTTAGCGGAAGGCGATTTCGTAACGGCACGAAACTACGGGCCAGGTCTTGCAGTACAGTTAGAAAACGCCGACCGACCGCACGAGGAAGCTGCGAGAGCAGCTCTCGCGAGCGAAATTCGAGCCGAGGGTTATATCAAATAATCATCGGCGAGCCGCATCTCGCAGGATGACCTCGGAAAATCCGTATTCCCGATTTTCCCCTCGAAACCGATTTCTGCTGCACCTAGGGGCTAAAACAGGGCAGGAAAGAGTCCAGAGGAGAGGAGGACCGTATAAGCGACACGAGAAAGGCGGGACAACGAGGGCCTTTGTATCGCCGGCGTCAATTTAACGGATTCAATGAAACCCCGTCATCTCCTCGATAATTATCCCGGCGACCTAAACTCCCGAACGATTATCCTTGGTGCGACTTAATTTACCCGGTAATCTTCTCCGATAACCGAATTCCTCCCCGATTACTCTTTCCCTTCCGGCGACGCGATTTCCGCGATGGCTCGAGTCGACGATTTTATACGACTCGAATTGATGATTTTATTTTTTTTTCTCTCGAGTCGACGATTTTATACGACTCAATGACTTCATTTTCATTTTCGCGAGTCGACGATTTTATGCGACTCGATTTGATTACATTTTTTTTTTTTTGGGAGTCGACGATTTTATACGACTCGAATTGATGATTTTATTTTTTTTTCTCTCGAGTCGACGATTTTATACGACTCAATGACTTCATTTTTTTTTTCTCGAGTCGACGATTTCATGCGACTCGATTTGATGATTCTATTTTTTTCCTCTTGTCAACGATTTCATGCGACTCGATTTGACGACTCCATTTTTTCCTCGACTCGACCTGACGGTTTAATTTCTCTCGACTTAATCCTGCAATAGGATTCGACGATTCAATTTTTTTTCTATTGGATTCAATGACCGAACCCGACTACTCGATTCGACCGTTTCGCCTTTCTCGACTGAAATACTCCACTCGATGGTCGATTTCCTCGGCTCGACCCAATTTCTTCCCGAAATCTTTCCCAGGGCAAAGTGTTCGAGCTTCGGAGGGAACTCCTTCCCAAGACAATCGCCCCTCTGTTCGAGCGATCGAAGATCGCTCCTCGAGTCGACCCTCTCCGCCCTCGAGTCGGCGTCGCCGGCTAACGGGACGACCGCGCACTCGTAAGGTGGAGTACGTCCTATTATTACTTATTACCACCGCGATAGTCGCCATTCGACCGCGCCTGGAAACCCGACCATGGGGTTCCGTTACGAATCCCACGACTCCATAGGCGAGCTCGAGAATCTCACGGTCGATTCGATTTTCGATTGGCGAGCAAAACTGCTCTCGGACCTGGTCTTGCCAAAATCATACAAGCCCGATATCAATTTTGCTCACCATTTCCCATTAAACCTAAATAAAATACCCACGTTCAAGTTTAACCGATTCGTCCCAAAAAATTAATTCTTTTCTCTGAAACCGCGGAGAGGGGCCGTAACGAGACGTCACATATTTATCAACGTGACTTAACCCACACAATCTAAACCAGCTCAACCCTGGCGCTCGCATAAAAAGTGCAAGACTAAGACCTAACCACGTTAAGAAAAATCACATAAGCCCGATATCAATTCTGTTCAACATTTCCTATTAACCCATTGTTGTCAGGACATGTAAAAATATGTTTTTCGCAAACTGTGAGTAGAGCGCGGGTCACGTGGTTACACAAAACCTAAATAAAATACCAGCGCGTAGATTTTACCGATTCGTTCCGGAAAATGAATTTTTTCCTTTTTTCCCCTGAAACCGCGGAAAGCCACTGTAACGAGACGTCACGTAACGTTCCCGTGTTTACTCGCTCCCTCGCCGTACGTACATCGTCTTGCTCTCTTCCCCGCGTGCGTGTGCGCAACGCTCGTCGCATAGGCCGGCATTACCGTGCCGGGGTAAATTAATTAGAGAGACAAAGAGGCTTAGGCGAGGCGACCGGGGCAAAGGAAACTGTCGCGGGCCGTATCGCCAGCCAGGCGAGAACTCCGCCACCTCTTCCATAGAAATCCTCAATCTTTAGATCTCCTTTACGGAGAGGTGAGCGCGAAGGAAAGGACGCGTCTTGCCGCGCAACCTAACCTAAAAATACTCCCCCGTATCCCCCCCTCGAAATAGCAAGATAACGCAATATTTCATAATTTCATGTTCGTTTAATAATTCCGAACGCCAAATGGCAGAGACGCATACTCGTATGTTGTCGAAAATATCGACGATAAATGTACCGTAATAAAAATGCTCGCTAAAATAAAAAACAAGGGCACCGTTAAATACGGATACCGTTAGAAATGTCGTGAATTTAAAAGTGTAATTTTCCTGCAATGGTGATACGAAAGGGTCATTCTATATGTGTGTATATATATTAAAAGGTAGAAATATTTATACAAGTTTTCTCCAAACTGGGTGCACCGGATCATTTGAAACGTTATCACGTTCAATAACAATTTCTTCTTTTTTCTTTTTTTATTTATTTAACCTAGATTAGAACCAAGTTTAGGGTTCTTCATAATCACGTGTTAAAGTTTCGAATTGTTTGGCGCACCCAGTTTGGAGAAAAGTTTTATAAATATATTGACGTTTTGTATGTATAACGTGACCCTTTCGTATCACCTTAAGTATGCAACGTTGTATAAAGATATTTACGGGTAATTTTACGCGAGGCTCGAAGTGATCATTTGCGCGAATTGTGGGTAAGCGAGCAATTTCGCATTTTCGCTCTAGGCGAGGTAACCGGAAAATCCGGTGAATCCGTTAAGTGACTCGGGCCACGTCGGGTTTCCATATCTCGAGTCTCGGTGTTTTCACGATGCCGGAATTTCTGTATCGGCAGTCGTCCGGGGGAACCGGACTCACCGGTCCGCCCCGAGGCCTTGGGTCGACCTGCTAAAAAAAGAACGCGATTTCGGCTAATTGAAACGCAACGCTCTCGACTTGTACACACGAGATGCACCGTCGGAGATTTTGTCCCCCCGGGAAAGGCGAGGTCCGTTGAAACTCAGAGAAGTGCTTCGAAAACCCCCACGTGCGTTTCTAACGCTGGAGCCCGATAAAACTCGTAAAAAAAATATCTCCTCTCGGTGCAAGCTGCGTCGTAAATTAGAGCCCGCCGCGAAATCACCCTCGCCCGCGAGCAAAGAGAACCAGAAATTGAACGAGGCCTCTTAAACTCACTTCCCATCGTCGAAGACTTTTTCCCTCGGGTCGATGGAATATTTAACAAGACCTGCCAGGTTGCTCGAAGCTGTGAGTCCCATGAAATAGGAATAGTGGAATATCTTGCGATGGTCTTGCTCAGGGCAAATCTAACCTCGCTCCGGTTTCACTTTTAAATCCCAGACCCTTAAAAGGGATTTAAACAAAAAGGAGTAAACCACATTAAATTTCCCAGGAATGGGCCTTCTTGTCATTAAAAACGTTCCTCCAGGATCGTGGAAGGTCAAACGAGTTCTGCCAGATTGCTCGAACCCACGAGCTATGGGAGAAAAAAATCTCGTTCCACGGTGGGCGGGTCCTGACCAGGGCGAACCTAACCTCTCTAGGAGCTATCGTCAGCACTGATAAACCCCATAGAATCCCTGGAGGAGTTAAAAATGAGGGCAGAGGATTTCCCAAGACCGTGACTCCCCTAATACCCAGACTTAACCTAAAAAAAAAAGAACGGATTAAAGTTGCACTCACCATTCCTGGAGACGTCGAGTTCCACGAGGTTCTCGAAGTTCTGGATCTCAGGGGGCAGTCGGTGGATCTCATTGTCGCTGAGTCCCAGTTTACGTAGCCTTTGGAGGCGGAACAAGTTCTGCGAGGAGAAAATAAGGTTTTGAAGGATTTGGAGGGCGTCACGTCGACTAGCCGGGGACGCGCCGGGACGCGCGACGCGCGCGGCCCGCCGTGTCACACGGTTAACGTCAGGACGCGGCGCGGCGCGTCCTCGGACGGAGGATGCCTCTCACCTTTGGCAGGTCCCTGATGTGGTTGGCGTCGAGGAGGAGTTCCTCGAGGCTGCAGGAGTACCTCAGGATGTCGTCGGGCACGTTCGTGAGGGAGCAGTGCCGCCTGTCAACGTATTCCACCTGCCTGTTACACGCTTTGAATATCGGAATGCAGCGGAACATGATTCCCCGCTACTCGGCCCGACTCGCCTTTCTCCCTCGAAGCGTATCGCGGATATATCGATCACACCGCGAGAGCACCAAACATGATTAACCCACGTATTGTATTCCTATCTATCACAGTACACACGCGCGGCCTAAGCGCGCATTTTACTCGGCTCCGGGCGAGACGCGGGTTAAAGAACTACGAAGGGAGACGAGCGCCGCGCTACGCACACTTTCACGCCCTATTCGGCTTTAAACGCGTTCCCTCGGCTTGCGCCTCGAACGTCTGACGTCATCGTGTCGGCGAGGCTCCAAAACGCGAAACCGCCGCCACTGGCCGCCACGAACCACCGCGAGTGCCGAAGACGAGGCCAGCCAGGCCCAAGAGCACGGATATACCAATGACGGAGACGTTAGGAGATAACTGGCGCTTGAGCGCGACCGACCGCGCCGCTGCCTAGCGGCGCGCGCAGGATCTACACACATTGCTTCAGGTCGTTCCAACCTGTTCCAACCTCACACAGGGTTGCGTGATCGCATCCTGTGCCGCCCCTCGGTGGTGGACGCGAGCGAATAACGGCGTCCTTTGGAAATGTTCTTAACACACAGCGTGGAAAGGAATAGCATTGTATATCTATGATTTGAGCAATTCTCGGTACTCCTGGCTGTCATTTTATAGGTTAAGTTCGGTTAAATTGTTAGGACACGTGCTTGGGTGTGGAGGACGGCGAATGGGAATAATTATTTAATAGACTACAGATTCCAGAAAGCAACATGGAGTACATGGAGAAAATCGAAAACCCCGCACACACGGTTGCTAAAATGTAAGTGTTTTCTTGGAATTGTTTGATTTATTGGTTAATTGTTTTAATTTGGGATGGTTTTGTTAGATTGTGCTGCGAATGCGGTACTCCGATCGAGCCGAATCCTGCTAATATGTGCGTGGGGTGTTTACGAGTTCATGTGGATATTACGGAAGGGATTCCAAAGCAAGCGACGTTGATCTTCTGTAAAGGATGCGAAAGGTATCGGCGATCTGTATGATTTGACACACTTGCAGTTTAGTGTTAATGTTTCTTTGTTTTGAATTAATATTTTAGGTATCTTCAACCTCCGATGGAATGGGTTCACGCACCTTTGGAATCCCGAGAACTTTTGTCGTTGTGTTTGAAAAAATTGAAAGGTTTGAATCGAGTGAAACTTATCGATGCAGGATTTATCTGGACGGAACCTCATTCGAAAAGACTTAAGGTAAATTTTGATAACAGTTTGTTGTTGTTAGCTACTTTCAAAATTTTTATAGCTTAATATGTCTTTATAAAATGTGCCGTTTTCAGGTGAAACTGACGGTGCATGGCGAAGTTCTTGGAGGAGCAGTTTTACAACAAGTATTTGTTGTGGAGTATATCGTTAATAATCAAATGTGTGACACTTGCCATCGTTCCGAAGCCCAAGATTTCTGGCGTGCATCGGTACGTTCATTCGGATTAATTATATTCATTAGAGTAAAGATAAAATATATCAATCTTAGTGTTCCAGTTAAAGTTTATTTTATATTAATCTAGGTACAAGTTCGACAGAAGGCTATAAATAAGAAAACTTTCTATTACTTGGAGCAGTTGATTTTGAAACATAAAGCTCATGAACAGACTTTGGGTATCAAGCCTATACATGGTAAGACTTGTTTTTTGCATCAATTTGAAATGTTATTTAAACAATTTTTCTATTTATTTAGAGGGCATTGACTTCTTCTACGCTAATGAAGCAGCGGCTAGAAAAATGGTTGACTTTTTAGTAGCTGTTCTACCTTGCCGCTATCAACATGCAAAAAAGCTAATTTCGCATGATATTCATAGTAACATCTACAACTATAAATTTACATATAGGTATGATTTAATATTTGTAGTCCCTGTTTTTTTGTTCTTCACTTATTAAAGTAACAAATGATTATTTAATACAGTGTAGAACTTGTGCCAGTATCCAAGGACAGTGTGATTTGCCTTCCAAAAAAATTAACTCAACAATTGGGTGGAATAAATCCTGTCTGTCTTATGTATAAGGTTACAAATTCCTTGCACCTAATAGACGTGGCGACTGGACAAAGTAAGACCCACGACTATTCCTGATAATTAACCCAAGAACCTGTGATTAATTAATATTTTTGCAGTTGCTGAAGTCAGTTCTACGGTTTACTGGAGATATCCTTTCAATTGTATCTGTAACCCGAAACAGCTAATAGAGTATGTAGTTATGGATATTGAACCGATTTCTGACAAAGACAAGAAAGTATTTCCAGGTCAAGGAGCAATTTCTCATAAGGTATAATAAATTCTTGTCTAATATATATACTATGCTACGTATAATATTATAAACCATCTAATATATTACAATTCATTCAATTATTTTTCAGCACATTATATCAGACGTTTGGTTGGTCAAAGCTAGTGAACTAGGAGTTAACGAGAACATGATACATGCAAGGACACATCTGGGACATGTCTTAAAGCCTGGTGACTCCGCTCTTGGGTATGTGTATTAAAATGCCACGCGTTAACAATGTTAAAAGAAAAACCTTTATTACGCGGGATCATAACCGTATTTTTTTTGTAGATATGCTATCAGTGACACTAACATCAACGATCCGTATTTTGATAAATTAGACAAAGATTCTACTCCTGACGTTATCCTGGTGAAAAAGTTTTATGGACATGATAAGTCTGCTCGTCGCAGAGCTAGAATGTGGAAGTTGAAGCGATTGGCTGGAGAAATGATTAGCGTCAGCACTGAAAACAAGTAAGTCTATGATTTTAAATAATTCAGAACTTAAACCTTCTTCAGAATGACATTATGTATATCATATTATATTATATTAACATGCCAAAATATTTGTTATTCTTCATTAACAGCGAGTATAACGAATTCCTGGACGAACTGGAAGAAGATGCAGAGCTCCGACAGAATGTAAACATTTTTAAAGATTCATCCAAACAGATCCCCATTGACACGAACGAGCTGGACCCAACTATCCCACAAATTACTCTCGCAGAGATGCTGGATGATCTTGTAATTGAAGACTCGGATATGTACGAAATTTTCGACTAAGAAATAAAAGAGAAGTGAACTTGGTCAATGGCATTGCCCTGAACTTCTGTAACGGTTTACGGAAACTGGTTTTACCTTAATCAGTTGATACCGAAAAGGTTCAATTATGCCCACCATTAAACGTTTCGTGTAAAATCTCCACAGTGCACATTTTTATGAAATTGGAAAAAAGTGATATCGAACTTCCTTTTGACACAGTGGAACTTTCCTAGTGTTTAACCAGCGTCGAAACCGCTATTTCTATCACAGTGTAGTCCACGTGTACCATTAGTAAACACGACAGCAATATTCGAATCTAAACAAGACTTCTTACGATTCTTATCAAATCATATGTTAGGGAGATACGCATTTACTCATACAAAAAGCGGGTAACACCGCATTCGAATCTCATTCGTTCCCAGAACGCGTTGAGATGTCGAACTGGCGAGTCGTTATATTTTTTCTGGGACTCCTGTGTTCTTGGAGCTCGGTAAACACTGAAGGTAAGAAAGAAAAAAATTAAACTAACATTACTCTCAATATTTTCTAATAATTGAATAAATGTTTTACAGAGAAAATAATTATTTACACGTCTTAGACTTGTAGAAAATGGAGGTACAACGGTATTATAATACACTGTAAATTTAAACGAGCTTATCACGTTCTGTATCAATTAATCGATTAAAATAATTGTCAAATTCTTTTATTAACGAAAATATTCTGATCACCAGTCGTGTATTACACAATTTCTAGACAGGGAGTTTACCTTATTGTAGGTGCACTTGGCTTATCGGTATCAGCCACTTGACAATGTCAAAAAAACAGATACCTGAGATAATCGATTTTTTGATTGTCAGACGTGATAAAGAACGCGATCACAGGCATGTGAAGCTGTAGATTCAACATGTAGCAATTAAACAAATAAAGATATATACACCAATAATAGGTGTCTTCGGTACACATTACGTTGTGAAATAGTTTCAACATGTTCAATGTCTTTCTCTTATCAAGAACTTTGGCTGTGAAATTGTATAGCCTTTGCTGACTAATTGAATGAAAAGCTAAAACCGTGTTTATTTGTAACAGATGTCAACGTTAGATCAATGACGAACCAGATCGACTTATTAGTGAAGACAGGACAGGAGACTACGTTATTGAAAAGGATGATAAGCACTCTAGCCATCCCAAAAGAATTGCAAAGGACAGATTGGAAAAGCTTCACTGGGGAAAGGGCTAAGCACATATGTATAATATGCCAGGCTGTGGTGAAAACAGCGATCACAATGAGACGAACAGGTGCCTCGCTAGACACCATCGAAGGCATAATAATTAAGCTCTGCATAGCACTGAATTTGCAAACGGTCGATGTATGTCACGGGGCCATCGAATTAAATGCGGTATGCATTAACGGTCTCTTGATTAACATTTTATCCACGCTTCATTCGCTTACACTTGACACAGGTGATAAGTCCCGAAATAAAACCGAGCCGAGTAAATCCCATTTGGCTGTACCAAAATGACTTGATAAATAACAGCGAATAAATATATGTCAAGGATACGTATAATTTCTCGCCATAAAATTGTGTTATATTTAATATCATTTGTTTCAGCCGATCCTATTTTACATAGTTGATAAAAGGCCAAACCTCACAGAGACCGACATCTGCGGAGTAATATTGCAAACAAAGTCCTGCACTACGGCAAACAGTGAGTTCGAGTGGTCGGTGAATATCGCAAGTGGTTCAGCGAAGGTGATACAGAAGGAAAGGAGTGATCGGACTGTTAAGATTCTTCAGATAACTGACGTTCACTACGATCCCAGTTATGAGCCTAGGGGCAATGCTGACTGCGATGAACCAATTTGCTGTCGCCAAGGACAAAACAAGACAAATACCAGTGGCTTGACTGCGGGTTACTGGGGCGATTATCATTATTGCGATACTCCCTGGCATGCAGTTACGGATGTTTTGGATCACATTAAAGATGTCCACAAGGTATGCCACTACGAATAAAAATTCTGTGGTTTTTTTTTTATACGGAGGGTGGCATCTCTGAAATAATATATTATTTCAGAATATCACCTATATTTATTTCACTGGAGATATCATTGACCATGGAATTTGGGAGACCACCAAGGCTGGAAATATAGAAAGTTTAACAAAAAGCTATGCAGAACTTTACGATACATTTGGGGACATTCCGGTTTACCCAATTTTTGGGAATCACGAACCTCAGCCAGCCAACATGTAAGACTGCTTGATTCTTTAGTTGATACACATTGATCTTTTATTTTTAACTTTATTTATGATGTAGTTTCGCACCAAGTTACCTGAAGAATGAAGACTTCAGTACAGAATGGCTTTACACTTTAATGGCTGATACGTGGATTAATTATGGCTGGTTACCAGAATCCACTCGATCCACCATACTCAAGGGTGGCTTTTACACAGTTTCCCCAAAGAAAGGGTTCCGGATCATTGCGTTAAACAATAACGTTTGCTATACGTATAATTGGTACGATTGACATTCTATTAGTTACTCGTTATAATATCTATCCGATTTTAAAGAAACAGAAGTTGTAAATTATTAATCTTACCATCTTATATCTCCAATTATTTTATATTCATTATAGGTGGCTGCTGTACGATCCCAGAGACCCTGACGATCAGTTGAGATGGTTGATAGACATTCTTGAAAAGGCCGAAGAATCCAATGAATATGTACATATACTAGCACACATTCCTCCCGGTGATGAATCTTGTTATATTACCTGGAGTCGAGAATACCGAAGGATTGTCAATAGATTTGCTCATATAATAACTGGTCAATTCAACGGACACACTCACAACGATGAACTGCGTATCTTTTACGATCTTGAGAATAACACAAAACCTGTCAATGTTGCTTGGAACGGTGGCAGCCTCACAACTTATCCATCTCTCAATCCAAATTACAAGACCTACGACGTAAATGCTAACACTTTTGTAAGTTTATGACCACATATAATATTTTGATAGTTGTTCGTAAAGAGAAAATTCTAGACTTCATAACCATTTGAGTGATCTCTTATTTTCTATCACAGGAAATCGAGGACATACACACGTGGATTTACAATCTCACCTTAGCCAATGAGAACCCAACTCAACGACCCCAATGGTTCGAATCGTACTCCTTCAAGGAACAGTATGGATTACGTGATTTGTCTCTTAACTCTTTAAATGATTGGGTTATTACCTTATCCCAAAACAGCAGCATGCTGCGCACTTATCATAAGTAAGTTCCTTTTACTATACCTCCTATACCTGTAATAACTCATGTACATTGCAACAATATTTCCATTTCAGGAATTTTATCAAATTAGCTGACCCGGGCTTGCAAATAGGCTGTCAGAATACCTGCCTGAAAGAGTACCTCTGCAAAATAGTGACCAGTGCAGTTGACGATGATTCTCAATGTAAATATTTCACAAAGCAATAGCATTTCTCTTTTTTGTTTTTATCCAGAGAATCAATTTGTAACATTTTAGTTTCTGATACAAAGCACTCATAAAAATGTCAAGTTTTGTCTTGTCAAGTCGATAGAATCAAATATGTCACAAATATAACTTTAGGACATTTCACAGTTTGCAGATAATTGCACACTCTTTGAAATTTTTTATAACAATAAATGAATACTTTTGTATACTGTATGTACATTTATTACATTACCTGGCACGCATTATTTTTCTAAAATTAACAATTTTTTAACGGTATCCAAGGTACTCTATGTTGTTTTAATATAGTTTCTAATGGTATCTTGTCAAGCATGTTCATCTACAAAAGAAAAGCATAGTTGGAAATATTTATCGAGTGTACACATATCAACGGGCATAAAAAGAAGATAATGTAAATAAATCTTATACTGCAAATAAAAAAATCGTGGCAGAATATCAATTCCTGATTAAATACATACTTGTTTTCTAGTATACATGACTAATTTTTCAATGTGCTCTGGATTATTCGTTTCTAAAGCAAAAAATCTTCTCCATAATGCACCAGCCAATACTTTATCATCGGAGAAAAGTCCTTCGTCATAGCCAATTATTGCTGCATTAAACTGTTGAGATGTTTCTTTTACTTGTTTTCGTAGACTGGTTTGATTAGCATCCTATGAAATCCAGTTAATTATAGTTTTTATCTATGGTTAATACTAGTACTAGTGGTTATTTATAAACATTATGCATACTTTTAACTTTTTTGTTCTGATGTTCACATCTTCCCACATCGCTTGAACAATAGAGTTTCTAAGAAAGATTCCCAGTTCACCTTCTGCCATGAACCTACTCATTATCATCCAGACATGCAATTCTGTGATTAGGAACCATGAGTTAAAAGTGTCTGCCATTTTAAATTCTAAAACCAATAAAGTTATATGTAGTAAAGATACACACTCCACATGACAAAATCGAATAAATATGAAATACCTTCAAAAAATTCAGAATAATCTATCTCATCCGCAATTTGCTCGTATAAAAAGTAAGTAGACAATTTTTGTCTCTGGAAAGATATATTTTGTACATAAAGTAATAATAATATATGATACTTTAAAAGTAAATTATCATTAATACCATTTCCATGTAATCTCTTCTTAAAAAAATGCAAAAAATAAATATTCTTCATAGAAGTGATACATACAAAGATACTTACATATCTTTTTACATCGAAGAAGTTGACAACTTTTTGTTTAGTTCTAGCAAATATATTAGGCTGATACACGATTTTTCTTGCAATAGAAATACATTGTGGCCTACTCAAATGGAAAAAACGTGACGAACCATGAGGCAGAGCAAATGCAGGTGTCTCAAGTTCCGAATCAATTGATTTTATCCAGCACGTTGAAATGTTAGACGTTACAACTTGTGGTACCTAATAACATTATATATTTAATTATTCACATTAGTAGACCGCTAATGGAAATATTATCTCTTATGAAAATTAAAATCACATCGGATTTACTGCTGCTGACAACATAAAATACGAGAGACAATTTAATTGTTTATTGGAATAAATGTGAGGTACTTATTTCGAAAAACAGGTTAGGTTTATTTTCGAGAGCACGAAAAAGTTGAATACACACCCTGATCAAAGTGGATACCTGAAACCGGCGCATCATTTGTCACAGGACTTCTTATCACGTTATAATCCTTGAATATTACAATACAATTAACAAGAAACTATTATGTAGTCAATCGTTTTGAGAGAAATTCAACCATCCTCATACTGTCAACAATACTGACAATTACTGGCAATTACAGGTAGGAGGTTAGTGCTGCCACACTTTAACACATTAGTGAATGAAAAAAAAACACGCACCATTGCGGGCGTCTATGGAACCTGATACATAACCTCTAAAACATTATCGACAGGGATGAGTTGGGAGATTGCTCACGGGCAGGGTCGCGCGATCGCATCCTGTGCTGCCCTTTGGTTTCAACGTCACTTTCACCGTTTTTTGCCCTCAAGGGCAGCGCAACGAATTTCTGGTAGGGACAGAGATGAGTTGGGAGATTGCTCACGGGCAGGATCGTGCGATCGCATCCTGTGCTGCCCTCAGGTTTCGTACGTTAGCTTTCACCGTTTTTTGCCCCCAAGGGCGGCGCAACGAATTTAATTTCTAATAGGAGCTCGCGCACTCGCGATGGCCGTACCATCTACCAGTCGCCGTTGGCGGCTCACGTACTCGTGATGGTAATACCATGCGGTTGTTGACGGTGGTGGCTTATCTACGCTTACCGACACTGCTCGCTTTTAATGGTATGGAAAGAACACTCGTGGCGTCGTCTTTGACTTTACCCTTCACTTACCGTATTTATTTTAACCGCAAAAGAGGGGCTTAAACGGTGAAAGTTAACCTACGAAACCAGAAGGCATCACAGGTTGTGATCGCGCGACTCTGCCAGCAATCTCCCAACTCATCTCTGATCTTATCCGTTAAATTGAATTTTAGTACTTTTTATTAAAATATATATCTTTTCTTTATTCATGTTCTAAGATATTTTGATACACGTGCAAAATGGTAACAGTGAGTCTTTAAAATTACCGTCATTATTATAATAAATCTGTAAGTAGTCAATTCAAGAAGTAGACAATTAAAGATGAAACATTTCATGTTAGTAATGATTTATAGCATCGCGATATATATATATATAAAAGATTATTATCATTGTACTATTAGATCATTATAGTAAAAAAAGGAAAAAATACTCTGACAGTTAATCGAAAGGCAACAATCACCTATCATTTGTGTTTTTGATGTGCCACTTCTTTATGTATCGACTGATAGAGTCCAATTAAAGAAGATACCGTTCCGAGAGCTCCCACTTGCCACGTGGTCAGTCGACCACCCCATAATATTCCTGGAGGTAGGTAACTCACGGCATAGCTTACATCTAATATTAGTCTTATACTTGTCAATATCTCGCTATTCCTTTGGGAACTGATTGTCTTCAATGCAATCCTGTGCCAAAATTGTTTTTTTTTTAAATAATCAGAAATAATAAGTTAAATTAATTTAAAAAAATGATAACATGCATATTTAATAAATTTTATCTTTAAAAAGGATTTACCTTGATTCACAGTTGCTTTTGTCTAAGCAAGTCTTATTATTTTTCAGTTGCTGAAGCCGCCGAATAGATCTAAAATCGTCACACAAATATAATCAATTTAAATTGAAATCGATACAAATTCTGGCAAAACGAAGACGTTGAGTTCTTACTTGAATAAGGATAAAGAAATTGAAACGATCCAACACCAAATCGTAGCACTATCCCATGCTTTGGTATCGATTGCAACGATCTTACGATCCCCAGCCCAACAGATATGTTCAATCGGACCATAGAATAAGTGAACGGTAATTTGTAATAATTCGGCACATCTGATTAACCAGTCAGGCTCCTATTAGATCAGATACGATAGTTACTCGTTTCTAGAAAAATATATGAACCGTTCGTTAGCGCCTTTATTTAATACGGTACTATGACTGGCGTTCCCAATTGCAACTATGGTAATTATTAACATACCTGTGCCCCCAATCCATACGTAATGGCGCTATGTAAATTTGGAATGTCATCCAATAATCTCAACATAACCCTGCATCCGCTAAGTTCACTTCCAAATTTCTTAAATCTCGTAGCGGCATCATCTGATCTTGTCATACCAGTTGCCAACTTTGCCATATACGACAAGGTTCTTAAAATCTTATCACGCCCTTGATAAGTGTCCAAGTAATTCGATATTATTGCAGCAGTTGAGTTGGCCATGATTACAATTATTCCAAAGAACAATCCAAGAGTCTCAAGTCCTACTGAGCACTACTGAGGCGTTGGCTGCAGTGTCGCCAACTCTAAGCCCGTGAATTATAGTATGGTCGAGCCACAATTATAGTATAATCCGGAAAATTATAGTATACACCTTACGACTTTCCTTAGTTTTAAGTTTACTTGTAAAGCATGCGGTGTGCAAAGTGTGGACGGATGAGTATGGTATGCGTGTGGGTTGCGTGCGTGTGTGGGTCATGAAATCCTGCTTCTGTCGGGTTCTCAGTTGCTGGGAAGTCGATTGAATCAGGTGTCTATGCTTAGGCGGATTCCACTCGCAGCGGTCTCCACGTGGCGGGACATGGGGGATCAGTTCCATCCCCTAAGGATGACACCGATCCGCGACAGAGATGAGTTGGGAGATTGCTCATGCGTAGGATCGTGCGATCGCATCCTGTGCTGTCCTCTGATTTCGTACGTTAGCTTTCACCGTTTTTTGCCCCCAAGGGCGGCGCAACGAATTTCTGATAGGAGCTCGCGCACTCGCGATGGCGGTACCATCTGTTAGTCGGTGTTGGCGGCTCACGTACTCGTGATGGTAATACCATGCGGCAGTTGACGGTGGTGGCTTACCTACGCTTACCGTCACTGCACGCTTTTGATGGTAAGGGAAGAACACTCGTGACGCTCCATATGACTTTATCTACTTATCTACTACTATTAAGTACATTGTTGCCTCGCAGTCGACGTGATGCGGAGCTTTGGAGCACGCGTCGGTGTCGCGTATGGAACTCTCATAGCAGCGAATCTGCGTGAGTGCGATCGCTCCTAGAAATCTTCGCGCGTCCCAA